GTCAGAACCAGACACGGAGAAGCTGCATTCAGCTTTTGTGCTCCTTATATCTGGAACAAACTCCCAGAAAGCCTCAGATCAGCTGAAACACTCAGTTTATTTCAATCCAGGTTGAAGACTCACCTGTTCTCAGCTGCATTTGAATAAAGCACCAAATCCACACTTTTAAGCTTAAATTTCAAAACTTACATTTTAACTACTGATTTTATCTATTGTTCTGATTTTATCTGTTTTGATTTTTGATTTTATATACTGTTTTGTTTGTTTGTTTGTTAGTAAGCTAGTTAGTTTTAATCAATTTAAAATCATGCTTTTTATTTGTTTTTGTTTCTAATGTCTCTGCAAAGCACTTTGAATCACCTTGTTGTTGAATTGTGCTATACAAATAAACTTGGCTTGCCTTGCCTTACTAAAAATTTTTTGACAGATTGCTGAGCGCCGTGTACCACATAAAATCGGTTCGCGGTCAGTAAGCACAACCAGAATTCATACATAAGGTTTGCTGAAAATGAAAGGATTTTAGGCCATGCAGCCCCTGCATGTCGTTAGTACGGTTAGCTCGTTAGCGCGGTTAGCTCGCTAACACATTGACGCCGTCCAGCCCCACACACGGGGCGATCCCAGTGTTGCCAACTTAGCGACTTTGTCGCTATATTTAGCGAGTTTTCAGACCCCTTAGCAACTTTTTTTCTAAAATAAAGTCGCTAAAAAAGACGTGAAAGCGCGTATCGCTTTTACTCTCAAAAAGCAGCGGGTGCTGTAACGCAGTCAGTTCTTCTTTTACTCTTTTACTCTTATGTTGTTTTGTGGATCACAAGGTTTAAAACTACTTATAAACACACACACAAAGTAACTCCACCAGAGTGCCTATTTCGGGTCACTTTTGCCGGTCCAAGCCCGGGTAAAGGAGCAGGGTTGGAATTGTGGCATTAAAAAAAGCAATAATTGCTAAAAGAAATGTAATTTGTAGTTCTAAATAAACTCTAAATGCATTTAGGACGTTTTTTACTCACTTTATGTCTCTTCCACGATGTTATTTCTCTCTCCAACAACATAGGTTACAATTACATTAGCATGATCAATTATGCAGATTAGGCGATGACATCATTTAGCGACTTCTAGCGACTTTTAGGACAGCGATTTTCCTTACTGAGGAGTTGGCAACACTGGGCGATCCGCGGTAGCTCGATATTTGCCGTGTTCATCTTGTAGTTGCCTGCAGGTGAAGCTATGGGGGAGGGGGAGTCGTGTTCAGTGAAGGAGAGGGAGGCCGAGTAACCTTGCGTAGAGACAAAAGTGGACGGAAGGGAGGCAAACTTGCGGCTCCACAAGTATAATTATAATGTAACATAGACTATATCGATAAAAAAGGATATTGTCACATCTTATATCTTGTATGAAAATATATCGATATTTTTAAAAAAAACTCGATATATCGCCCAGCCCTACTCTCAAATCTGAAATAAAGCTGATCCTTCTCTGTCCCACACACTCAGGATCTGAAGCTCTTCTCTTACATTTTTTCAGTTCTACAGTTTAATCCATCGTTACAGATTAATGAGGAGGTACTGAAATACAAGCTTAAAAAATGGTGTTACTGTCTTTACACATGTGGAGACTGAAAACATGCTGTTGTTTGCACATATTTAATAATCAGCTCTGCACAGGAGCTGAAGCAGGATGCAGCCTGTTGCTTTTACAGTAAAACACTTGTAATAAAAGTACAGTAACAGTGACTGAGCAGCCCGTCTTGATTTCTTTAGTCAGGGTAAATTCATTCACCTGCACAGATTAGCTAAACGAACTTTGCAAAACAAGTTTCCAAATAGCTAAGTGCTCATCTTAGCTAGCTAGGTCTCAGGAGCTAGCTAAGGACGGTAGTTACAGATTAGCTTACAAACACGTTTAACTTACCGAAAACGTGCAGCGGGGCCTCGGGTCCTTCTGTCGGTAGTCCAGTTTACTGAAGAACACCTCAGGCTGTCAGGTTAAAACAGTCGGTCATGTTTTCGTAGCATGAACGCTGGCCCGCCTTTCAGAGCTTACGCTCTATCTGCTATTCCCGAACAGAGATACGCAAGTTTCTCCGTGACTGCAGCTGCCAGTCAAAGCTGTTATGATGACGTTACACCCCAATTTAACATCACTGTGGTAGGAAGTAGAATCAAACTTATGGGAAAGGAGACCGTTGGACATAAATCGGCGTAATGAGAACTATTGATAACAAAAAAAAGAATCTCTGGAAAATATTATCTGTGGAGAATTAATTTATTTTAGTCTGACCCCAGTCCCATCCGCTAAGAGGGAGGAGGCGGGGTTTATGACCTATACAGCAGCCAGTCACCAGGGGGCGATAGAGACGTTTTGGCTTCATTTTTGGGGAGCTGTTGTTAATATTGCTATTAACCTACACTGGAGTGTTTATAATGCAATTAACCCATATATTTGATGTAGTTAGGTCAAGTATTATTCACATGTATATCATAAGGTTATCACAAAAAACTGTACTATTTGCTGTACTAATGTGTGACCTTTGACCATGTTGTGACCTATTGTCAGAAGGCAAAGCAAAGGGTTAACCTAGGGGTTAGGGGTTATAGCATATCATAAAAACTATACAATAATTTAACTATACACTTACTATAAATATAAATACACAGTACAGTGCTGACACAGAGACAGACAGACAGGCAGAGAAGTGATGATATTTCAGAGCAGATTACTTTTGTACAAGTTTGTGTTGAGTATGGTGATGGCTTTGTGGAAGAAGAATCCCTGAGTTTGTTTGTTGTGGCCCTTATGGATCTATAGAGGGCATTAGGTTGAAAAGATGTCTTGTTTGCCTCCGTGCAGCTGGCGTGCCACACTGTCACTGCATAGGTCAGCAGGCTCTCGATGGTGGATCTGTAGGTCACCAAACACGGGGTGTTTAGTTGCTCCGTCCTGAGCTCCCTTAGGAAGAGTGGCCGCTGCTGGGCTTCCTTGACTAGGGCCCTGGTGTTAGCTGCCCAGGAGAGGTCTGCAGAGATGTGGACCCCAAGGAATTTGAAGGACTCCACTCACACGATACATTCTCTGTTGATATGCAGGGGGGCAGGGGCACTTCTGTTCCACCTGAAGTCCAGGATGAGTTCCTTCGTCTTGATGGTGTTAAGTGCCAGGTTGTTTGATGCACACCATTCTCCGTCGGGCACTTCCATCCATCCCGCTCTCCAGCGTTCACTCCCTGGACAGTTAAATCGATTATCTTTTGTTACGGCCCTAGCAGGGCCTCTCTCTTCCTGAAGGTGCCTGTGTGGGCGTGTCACACTACCTCTTCTGCCTGAGGTGCCACCTTTCCCTTTTACACAGCTGACTCATGTCAGTAATTAAGGAGATTTAAGCCCAGGGAAAGGTGAGCCCTGGGCCAGAGCTCACCTTTGGTTATAGCGTCCTCGGTCTCGATCTGTTAGTATGTGAATTGGTGTGGGTCCAGACAGACTGACAACGCACATCATACACAAAGTTTTTTTCCTTCTTTTTCAAATCTTTGGATCACGTGCGTGCCGAACCGTGGAGTGGGATCAGTTCGGATTATGGATCAACCGTGATCCGCTGCACCACTAATGTATATATATGTGTATATGTGTGTGTGTGTGTGTGTGTGTGTGTGTGTGTGTGTGTGTGTGTGTGTGTGTGTGTGGTGAACATGTAGTGAAATAAACATCTAAATATTTGTATGTATTATTGAAAATCCACTAGTCTGAAAAATAATGATGCTGCTCTATGTTCACTTCATCTCAGCACCTGTTTGTGTCACTTCTGATGCTGCAGACCGCTGTGTCTATTTCATATTTGAATAGACCTTTTATAGTTTTCTTCCACTGTTTTTATTTTCTTATTCACATCTAAGAAAGACATGGTACAGAGAGGGTGGAGCTGCCTGCAGCTGTCTGTGGTGCTGAAGCTTTCAAACATTTCATACCAACACTGACTACAACTGTGACCACAGGGGGGCAGCATAGAGCCAGAGAGTGTTAGTGTAGCTGTTCAGCCCTATAGTAAGAAACAAGAAGACTGATGAAGGAAAAGCTTCTTCCACTGGTGTAACACACAGGTTTGTATGAAGTCACACTAACTAACAAGCAGTAACCCACATTTGATCAAAGCAGGGGCAGAACTTTAATAACAGGTTATAATGTGTCATCACAGTTGTTGTCAATCCAAACACACTTTCTGATTGTTGCTGTTTATTGTAAAAGAACAACACACTTGTGGTCTGACCTAATGCTGTAGTGCAACAACAACTATACAAAGTCATCAAGACAAAAAACCTCATGCGAAATATTTGGCTTCCATATCCATCTTACAAAAAAATTGAAAAACAACTTCCATATTGAATGCAATATTAAATCTAAATTTAATAAAGAATTAAATTTAGATTTGCCGAACATGCTTTTTCTGCATTTCAATCTCTTTTAAAGTTCCTATTTTTTAACTATAAAAAGAAGCAGCTACTTTCAGCTGTTTGAGAGAAACTGAAGAAGACATTTACTGTAGTTTTAGGACCAACAGGCTGATGAATAAACCAAGTAAAGCAAAGTAAAGACAAGCTGCACTTTGACTTTTATTAGAACAATTTGCTGGAACTACAGAGTAATGAAGTACTTCAAGGTTTTGTGTGGATGACTTCCAACCTTACTGTACAGCACAGAGCACAGAGGGACAATATATGTAATCAATATATGATGCAGAATGAACAAGTAAAGACTGTAAGCTGAGTCTGAGGCTCATGCAGGACATTTCATAGTGAGGTGTCTTTGGTTGGATTATTCAAACATTTACATCAAAGCACCAAACTCATTTCTCACAGATGAAGGTCGTTGAATGAGAAGAATATAACGCTCTCCATCTCCCAGAACCGTCACAGCAGGCTCCATAGGGATCATAACTGGGATTCCCATGTCCTTCTGCCAAGAACCTGTCAGAGAGATCAAATCTGATATGAAACTGCACTAAACTCATAACTATTGTCACATTCATATAAATATGCGTCTCTTTTGGAATATTTCCAATATTTGCTGTATTTCTTTCCCAGGTTTCTCGCCCACTTTCCCTCCTTTAGACTTTTCTCTGAGAATCATCATGCACACTAAAACAGCTTTCAAGCTTTGATGAATATGAAATCTTCCTGCTGTAAAAATGGAGAATAAAAAGAAGTCAGAGCTGACTTTCTGCTGTTTGAAACTGTTTTGTCAGCTGTTTACAGACATCACTTTGAAATGTGTGTCTATCAGGTCATATTTACTGAAGCTTCTTCCTTCATATGTTCTGAAGTTTTACAAACACCAAAGAAGAAGAGACAGGAATTCTCTGAAACACTTTTTGTTCTGTGAGAAAAGAAACATTACAGCACAAAAACATGAAGACAAATTGAACAAAGTGAAATGTGTCGGTCGCTGCTTTGAACATGTTTCAATCCTGATTCCTTCAAACTGACTTGTTGTAACTGAACGTCATCACAGACTGCAGATGAAGAGAGTTCAAGCACAGCTGTTCATTCAAAGGAGGATTTCTGCTTTTCTTTACATTCAGTTTGTGGGGCTGTTGGAAAATAGCTCAACTCATGTATTGCTGATCTATCTTCCAAAACATCCATGTTTCACTTCTAAATAATAACTCTGGAATAGAAACAAACTAATGTCTCACCTTTCTGTCAGCGCTGATCCGTCCACCCATTCCCATTCATATCCTCCTGATGTCTGTTTGGATCTCAGACCAATCCAAGAGAATCCTCTGAAATTACTGACAAATTCCTGTTTGAGAAGAGACACAAATATTGTCTCCAGTCATAATTCAGCACTTCTGTTGTAGTGACATCATCTTGTGAACATGTCTGAAGGAAGAATAACTGTGATGAAACTTTTCTTCCATTGTGCAGAAATCAGAAAGAGCCAAAGAATCGATGAATATCAGCTCCTCCTGTAGCTCAGTCAGTGTTGCAGTGGAATCAGTGTTAACAAATCATTTGATTCAGTTGGATTGAATCAGAAAAATAATCTGGATTATGAGGATTTCTCTCATTTTATAACATTTCTGTGTAAATTAAATGTTTGTCAAATGTGTAAAAACTTTACGTTTGAATGTGTCTGCAACAAAAAAGGAGAATCCAAGAAATCCATCAGAGTGGAGACAGGAAGCAGGTCACAGACTGACAGCAGGTCAAAGACACAAGTAACAGATGACTGTCAGCTCCATCAAAGATCACACAGACATGAACAAACACACCCACCTGTTCCTCTTTGCTGTTTATCATCACCAGATCAGCTCCTTTATCCTGACAGGCTCTCCTGCTCTCAGGCCAAGTTTCACTCTCAGTGGATTTAAAGTAACAGCTGCTTCCAAATCTCATCCATCGATCAGGACACTTCTCTTAAAGTCAAACACATGTTTTAAAGACAGACTTTGTGTCCTGTTGTATCACATTAATCTTTGGTTCCTGTCATTTTCCCTGTAAATGCTTCATTTAAACTCAGGTTTTCTCTCTTATTCATAATGAACTGAAACTTACATTTATACAGAGAAACTGTTACACAGCATCAAACATGTAGGATTCAAAACAAAGACACAATCAGGTTATCACTGTGTAACACTGATGTTTTCTATCAGTTATTCAAACTTTATTACCTTCTATCTTCTCCTTCAGCTTCTTCACTTCTTCCTGTAACTGACTGTTGAGTCGTTTTGTTTCTGTAGAAAAAAAACATGTTAAAAAATGTAAATATAAATTTTATCTGACATTAGTATTTTCTTGTTAATTTTAAATACTTTCTTACCTTGATGTTCAGTCTGTAGCTCGTTGTAACTGTGGTTCAGTTTATTGTGTTTGAAGTGAAGTTTGTTGAATTCACTCTTGTTCAAAGCATCTGAAATATTTCAGTGAAACCAAAATAAAATAAAATAAAATAAAATGAGTGAAACGTTGAACAGAAATAATCTTCTTCCTCTGCTTTGTCAAATATCAATAAGAGTCAGAAACTTGCAGCCATTGCTCTTTAACATGTCCTGTGGGTGGAGGTGTTAGAACTACAGGAAATCTGATGAGCTAAATACGTATCAACTGTGAACAAAAACCACTGACAAGATTCAGAATAATTGTGCTTCAGTGTGGAGGAAGAAGGTGAAGAGTCAAACAGCATTTCTACACCTGTAGTCAGAGATGTTATCTATATGCTTTGAAAGAATAGATTCTGACTCATGTGACATGTGCCTGTTCTCACTGAAAATATGTCTTTTTACATTCAGTCAAAGCTGCTCTGAGGCTTCAACACTTCCTCATATCAAAGGTGTTTCCATGTGATCAGGTACTTCCTGTATTTGCTGTGGCAGAAGGACACGTTCTGGTTGTGAAGCTGCATGTTTGTTGGCTGCTGGGATTCAGTATCAGTCATACATTCATTTGCAGCCAAGATCCCATCTTTGTAGCTCAGACTGCTGAAGACTCACACTGACTGCCTGCAGCATCTCATATAGCACACACAGCATCAGTGTCTATGATACAGTAACAGACTGAACTTTGACCTGTTGTTATGACTGTCATCATATTTGTGTCATTTTGTGTAACTGCTGTGTTTTTCTGTCCTTCATGCAAAGCTCTGCATGCTGCGCCTCAGCTGTGACTGAATGAGAGGATGATAACGGGCATGTGCAGGTACTCTGCTGTGATTGGTGCACCAACATGCAGCCTAATGATTACATAAAGAGCCAAGATGGCCGCCGTCTGCAGACGACTCATTCAGCTTTTCCTTGTTCCAACCTGCCACACCTGTGCAGCTCTCACTCTGTGTTTCCTGATGAGTTTGAAGCAGGTTGTGTTATGGTCCTGGGTCTGTTATATGTGATTTAGATTTTTTTTTGGCCTTTCTATTATTTTTATGTAACTTTAACTCTTTGGGTTTATATTCATATGCTACTTTTGCATGTTATATTTTCAGTGTTCTGCCCTTTTGTGTAAAGTTTCTGTCAGTGTTGGAGCCATTTTATGTTTTTGGTGCTATTGCAATTTCTCAGCACAAGAGGGAGTAGTAACCCTACTTGCCACTGTCGCCATAACCTTTTAATCCAGGTTCAGTGGTGCTCAGGTGTGATGAGATGGGACAGAGGCAAACAGTGTTTTGACCGTGTATCAGTGTGAATCAGGTCGTGTGAGATCCTTTTGGTGTCATCTTCAGAAATTGGAATATGGAAACTTGAGCTTGAGGCAAATGTTGGATCGATGTTGTTGAAATTAGAACAATAAAGGTTAAATTTTTAATTTCAAGCAAAAGATTAATGAACACTTTGCACAGGTCAGAGCACCTGTCACTCATCTTCTTGATCTTCGATTAGCGATGTTTGGCCCTACAGTCAGTGATGTTTCCTTTGTTTGATTACTTCCTGTTTAACCTTTGTTTAACCTGTGTCTGCTGTGTTTGGCATTTAGTTTACTTTCTTTGTCTGTTTTTCTGTGATTAGGTTCAGCTGTGTTCCCCTCCTGTTTCATCTCTTTTTTGCTTCACTCCACATGCGAGCCTTGTGTTTGCGCTGAGCAGAGGAGGGAGGGGCGGTAGTTACACTCGCAGCAGCACAGGAACAGAGCAGGAGGGAGAGAGAGAGAGAGAGAGCCAGGGACAACAACAATAGACAACATCACCACAATAGAAAGGTGTAGTAATGAAAATGAGTGACATCAAGAAAAGAAGCACAATCTGGAACCATTTATATTTCATTGACAGTACAAAGTGTGAGTGCAAGAAAATAATTATTATAATATGATGTGTTAAATTTGTTTAGATCAGAGGAATAAGGAAGGATTGGTCTGTGTTTCAGTTTGGCTTAGCTGTAGGCTGAGAGTGTAATTGTTTAGAAGGAAAGGAATTTATGGACACTGGGGTCTGCCTGCCATAGAAGGAGTCAGGAAGCTACAGTTGGGGGTTGCTGATGCTGATGTTTGTACCTTTAATAAAACACATAATTGTTCTAAACTTAGAAGTAGGTTTGCAGGAGACTCTCCACCTTATCTGTCAATGTAAGACAACAAGAGGCCACTGGCCCAGTGGATGCAGAGTGGGAGTCTCAGTGTTTGTAATATGTTAACTGTGTTTTCTATGTTGTGTAGAGGAATTTGGTGTAGCTTGGGTGAGATTACTTTTATGACCCCCAGGACGTCACGTATACAGACACACAGACACAAAGTGCTTTGACTGTTATGACACACCCACACCTACATGCACACTCACTCATGTACACACGGGTATGCGCACACACAGGCACTCACGTGCTCGTGCATACACACAGACACAGAGTTTGCAGCACACCGTGGGGGTTTTATGATGGGGTCACTTCTATAAAGCTGGCTGTAACAGACAAAGGAGTGAAGATCTGCAGAGGGACACCGGCCTTGCACGTCTTCCCTTCTAGAAGATGCATGCTAAAATGAAGATGAATAAAGATGAATAAAGGTTTTGTGAAATGACTACTGAGTTCTGGTGCCGTCTCTGGATGCCCGAGGAATAAAAAGAACCGGGTGAAACTGATTTCGCAACAAAAGGCAGAGTGTAGAGTCTGCAAGAAAAGGATATCATATAGAGCCGGCTCCACAAACAACCTGCACAGGCACCTGAGAACTGTCCACCGCCTAAACCAACGCAGAGCTCTGTTAAACAGTTTTTGCAGAAGTCTGTGACCCCAGCAAGACAGAACTCAATTGATAAAGAGCTGGCAAAAATGATTGCACTTTCAGAAAGTTTACTCATGCACTGAATCCTATGTATGCAATTCCAAGCAGGAAAACACTCTCCCAAAAAATCATCCCGGGCCTATATGACAGAGAACGTGCATCTTCTTTTTGTTTTGCATGTTAATTTATATTTTGTTGTGTTGTGGGGTTTTTGTTGTCGTTTCACTTTCAATTAGTTTAAAAGGTAAAAGCTGAAAACTTAAATCGTTAATAAAACTGGAATTGTAAATAGTTGTTTTTTGTATTTTATAATTATAGACTGAGCTGCCTATAATAAACATACATAAATAAAACATATTTTTTATATTAGTAATTCATTTTGTGCATAATTTTACATTGTTGTTAATAATTAATTAATTAAACCAACAAAACAACCTAAAGAGAGGGTTGGGAGCCGAAAGAGCCAGTTCTCTAAAAAGAGACAGAATTCCTATCACTAGTATTCATTCCCATTGTTTCCCTCGCCCTTTGTCCAGTCGTCTCACTAGCTGTGCTGTTCCTACTCTTTTTGTCTGTTTTTCTTGTACCTCATGGATTTTTGTTTCTCTTTTCCGGACCATCTGTACTTTCCTGGAATAAACACACTTTATGTTTAACATTTGCCCACCATGTTCTGCATTTGGGTCCTGAAGCTTCCACCACACCGTGGACAACATAACCTGATAGTTTGTAGGGCTGAGCTGCCTTTGACTTTGAACAGTTTTCTCCTGATTATGTTAGTTTGGGAGGTCAGCAGCTGCAACTTGTTTTGTTTCTTTTTATCAGATTATCTTTACACAAGAATCTGATTTAAAACATAAAATTAGCCCACTCTCAAATACAGTCATCTCCAACTTTAATACTTCTTAATAGTTTCTTACCTCCCATCTTGTCCTTCAGCTTCACTTCTTTCTGCAGCTGCTCTTTTTCCAAACTCACTAAAATATCTGGTTAGAAATGCAACAAAACAGGAAATTAATTTAAAATCATTGCACTTTCCCAGATGGACTTTTTTATTCTCACTTTAGATGAATGGAACTAACATGAACTTGTTAGCTAGCTGTTTAATACACCAAGTGAACTAACTAGTTGACATAATGACAGACCAGGCCACTGTCTAACGTAGTGTGACTGCACCTGTATCAGTCTGCAGCAGATGCTGCTGCCTGTCTGCTTTGTTGATATAAGATAAGATAAGATAACCTTTTTTTTTGTTTTCTCACAGCAGGAAGCGGACAGTGCAAAAGTTATATAGCAAAACTTAGAATATAATACGAATAATGTACTGTACCCAACTGTAAAGAATAGAGTAAAATAGAATAAAATATACAATAGGATAAAAATATAATGCAAATGCTTTATACAACTGAGTAAAAATACAACTTTGTCAGAGAAGAGTATTGCACTTAGTCTTATTGCACATGTGTGGATGTGTGTGTTTGATCAGCTGCAAAAGTCTTTGCAGAGGTCGACATTGAGGAAATGTAAAACTGCTGGGGAAGGGTAAACATGAATTCAGTAAAATTGTAATTCACGTCGGCAGTAATGACACCCGGTTACGCCAATCGGATGTCACTAAAATCAATATCGAATCGGTGTGTAACTTTGCCAAAACAATGTGGGACTCTGTAGTTTTCTCTGGTCCCCTCCCCAATCAGACCAGGAGTGACATGTTTAGCCGCATGTTCTCCTTAAATTGCTGGCTGTCTGAGTGGTGTCCCAGAAACGATGTGGGCTTCATAGATAATTGGCAAACCTTCTGAAGGAAACCTGGTCTTGTTCCCACTCCTCCACTTTGGATGGAGCAGCTCTCATTTCTAAAAATATAGACAAATTTAGTAAATGCCCCAGACCATGGCTATCCAGAGTTGGGACCAGGAAGCAGAGTTGCAGTCTTACACGCCTCTCTGCAGCTTCCCTCCTCCTGTTACACCCCCCCCCCCCCCCAAAAAAAAAAAAAACATCTCCAAAGAGACTGTGTCAACTCCCAAACAGACAAAAAAACCAAACTAAGGACCAGCAAAAAATGACTAAAACATAAAAAATCACAAAGAAAGAACAATACAGTATCCACATATGAACCAAAGAGTAAAACAGTGAAATGTGGATTATTAAATATTAGGTGTCTCTCCTCCAAGTCTCTGTTAGTACATGACTTAAATTCCATAATGTTCAAAATCAGCACGATGGGAACTGAAGAGTAATGTTTCTCTACTTCCAGGCAGAGACAGAGATCAAAGCGACTACCTATGAGAGCACATCAAGCCTGACATATGATTTAGTATTAAATACATTAGGTTACATAAAACTGGAGCCAGCTGTGATCTTCAAAGTGATATGTGACGAGTGAATCCTTTCCAGTGTGTCCTCAGCTTTAGCTGCTGGTGGTTAGCCACTAATGTTTAGGGATGGGTACCGGTATCCGGAGAAATGCGCCGTATTTGGTAGCTTGCTGCGAGACCTCACACCGAGCACATCTACTGCGGGTGTGGTGCCTGTTATCGGACCCAGAGTTAGCAACATCCCCCAAAAACCCGAAGAGGAGAGTCCTGGCCCCTAGCCCTGCCAGTGTAGCAGAAATGATGAGGATGATGATGCAGCAGCAGCCGTTCTTCTCTGCGTGAGTAGCTTCATGTTGTTCGTGTGTAATTTACGTTGAGTAGGCTAACCACGTTATTACATTAATGCATGTAAGGTGAACTAGCAAACATCATCATAGCTACATGCGGCTGTCTTCTTGTTTGATGGCAGATACTCCCTTCACCCTGGCCAAAAAGGCTAAAATGACCAAAGAAAAAGTGGAAAACAGTTAAACATGAGAGGTTTTTGGAAAACGTTTGTGTTTTTTCCATTGTTTAAGCTTCCAGCCAAGAGTGATACCATATATGCCCCATAGCTGCAGAAAAGGCTAACATTGTTATCTTTTTACAAAAAAACAGATGAACATGAGAGGTTTTTGGACAAAGTGTGTGTTCTCCATTCTTTAAGCACCGGTTTGGTACTGGTATTGGATAAAGCCTAAACAATTCCCATCCCTACTAACATTAAAGGCTTATGGTAAATGGCCTGTTTTTGTATAGTGCTTTTCTAGTCCCTAAGGACCCCAAAGCACTTCACACATCCAGTCATCCACCCATTCACACACTGGTGACAGCAGCTACATTGTAGCCACAGCCACCCTGGGGCGCACCGACAGAGGCGAGGCTGCCGGACACTGGCGCCACCGGGCCCTCTGACCACCAGAGGGAAGTGTCATGCCCAAGGACACGACGACCAAGACTGTCCAAGCCAGGGCTCGAACTGGCAACCTTCCGATTACAAGGCAAACTCCCAACTCTTGAGCCACGATAGCCTCGATAGCCTCGATAGCCTTGTATTAAGTTAATTTACTTTAGTGTAGATCTCATCAGTTAGCTGGGCCCCAGCACATTTTTAACCAGCCTGTAGGTAGTGAACATATTTCAGCAGTAGTGTAACATATATAAGAAAACTCTGCAGAGTGACTGTTTCTAACTATAACATGAAGAGAGAACAGGAAGTGAACAGAATCAGGTCAACAACATCAAATAATTTCCCTTAAAATGTAAAAAAATCACAAATCTAACATGATAAATAAAGTTGCTCACAGCGTGTTAAGATTCCAGCCAGAATCAGCAGATACAGCACTCCCAGGGTCACTTCAAACGCTCTGAAACAGCTGCTGTCCACAGCTGGAAGCTTTCTCTGGGTGTGTTCATCTACAGAGAAAATACACAAAGAGTCCATTCATGGAGCACTAATGAGGGGCTCTGGAGCTCCTTCTTCTTCCTCCCTTTTATTATCTGTAGTTTGTATTTTTAGTTCGTTCCTACTTACCAGCTTCTTGTAATCCACCAGCAGGGTTCTGCTCTCCATCGTCTAACATCTCCACCTCGATTTGCTCTCTTCCTCTTCCATCCTCATGGGTCCCTCTGCTGTATTTCACCCTGGAGTCATGGACACCTTGAGTTTGTGTCGACATCTTAAGCTAAGAAGATATTTGACCGTCCGTCACTGTCTGCCTGTTTCTTTGAGTCAGGCAGCTTTGAACTGAAAATATCCAGGAAGTCAAACCAGAAGAGAGCCACAGTTTTCCTGTCACGTCATGATGTGTGAAACGCTGAGTTATTTAGGAGCACTAACAGCATCCAACAAGATCTGAAGTTCAGTTCACTTCAAATGCAAAACTTTGACTGATGCAGTTTTAATTGATGACAAATGTGAACGAGTCAGAAACAGCAGAACAAACCACGAACACAACAAAGACTTCAAAAAGTCATTAAAACACCTCCAGAACATTCTGAACATTTCCTGTCTGAATATCTCAGAGACACTGAGGCTGAACTCAGCAGCAGCAACATGCACATCAATGCCTTTGTTAGATGCTGCTTTCATGAGTTTCTACATGTTGTAAGTCCACAGAATGAGAAGAGAGAAGAAGAGTTTGTGACACAGGAAATATGACGTCAGTGTGAACTAAGCTAACGGGGCGTCACGGCGTTGCAGAGGTTCGCTCTGTCACTGTCACCGTCTCCAGTTGGAAACAGACAAACAAACAGATTTCAACAAGACCTGAAGTTCAGATTTATCAGTTTAATTACTGAGATTTCATTGATGCCGTTGTGATTAATTACAAATGTGAACGAGTCAGAAACGAACAGCAGAATAAAGCACAAACACAGACAGCTTAAATACTTTTCTACATTTATTTGGAAAACTTTTCCATTACATGCATTAATACATAGATACTTGTACACCAATACAAGCAAAGACACAAATGTATTTGAAATGTTTGTCATAATGCACAGACACTGAGCTTGAACTTAGCAGCAGCAACATAAAAATAGCTTTCTCAGAAGCTGCTGTCATCACACAATATATAATGTTAGTAATGAGCGAATGTTTCTGATGCAGGAAATATGGCGTCAGTGTGAACTTCAGTTATTTCGAGTTTACCAGCAGAGAAACTCACAGCATGCAACAAGATCTGAAGTCATTTTGATGAATTGAAACGCTGAAATGTCTTTGATGCAGTTAGAATTCAATGAAATGCTGAAAATCATCTGAAGCGAAACACAACCAGGGTCTGTGGTCATTAGTTAAAAGCTTTGCACCAATCACATGTGGACACATACAGGCTGCAGGTAAAGGGTCCAAAGCAGGAAGTGTGTCACATGGAAACTGGCTCTGAAACTGTCTGATTCATGAAGACGACTAAGGCCCACGTTACAAAATGACCCGAGTCATGTTCAGAGTCATCAACAGACTTTAACCGTGTCCACTGTGAGGGTTGTTGTTTCTGGACTTTTCCTTTCTGTCATGCTGAAATGAACTTTGACCTTCAGTGTGTTAACGCTGTGCAGGCAGCTCGCTGCAAACTAAGCAGGAAGATAAAGTTGTGTTTTGATGTAAGTGAAGAAGAAGAAGGAAAGTTGTTTTAAACGGATTCATCTTCACTTATTCACACGTTGTAAGTTTGACAAACTGAATTTGTGCTGGTTTCAGTCTCTTGGTTCCTGATTTGTAGCTAAAAGTAAGAAGCAGCAACTTTCAGCTGTTTGAGAGAAACTGAAGAAGACATTTACTGAAGTTTTAGGACCAACAGACTGATGAATAAACCAAGTAAAGCAAAGTAAAGACAAGCTGCACTTTGACTTTTATTAGAACAATTTGCTGGAACTACAGAGTAATGAAGTACTTCAAGGTTTTGTGTGGATGACTTCCAACCTTACTGTACAGCACAGAGCACAGAGGGACAATATATGTAATCAATATATGATGCAGAATGAACAAGTAAAGACTGTAAGCTGAGTCTGAGGCTCATGCAGGACATTTCATAGTGAGGTGTCTTTGGTTGGATTATTCAAACATTTACATCAAAGCACCAAACTCATTTCTCACAGATGAAGGTCGTTGAATGAGAATAAGATGAATGCATCCATTTCCCATCACGGTCACAGCAGACTCCACGGTATCCAGAATAAGGATCTGACGATCCTTCTGCCCAGAACCTGTCAGAGAGATCAAATCTGATATGAAACTGGACTAAACTCATAACTATTGTCACATTCATATAAATATGCGTCTCTTTTGGAATATTTCCAATATTTGCTGTATTTCTTTCCCAGGTTTCTCGCCCACTTTCCCTCCTTTAGACTTTTCTCTGAGAATCATCATGCACACTAAAACAGCTTTCAAGCTTTGATGAATATGAAATCTTCCTGCTGTAAAAATGGAGAATAAAAAGAAGTCAGAGCTGACTTTCTGCTGTTTGAAACTGTTTTGTCAGCTGTTTACAGACATCACTTTGAAATGTGTGTCTATCAGGTCATATTTACTGAAGCTTCTTCCTTCATATGTTCTGAAGTTTTACAAACACCAAAGAAGAAGAGACAGGAATTCTCTGAAACACTTTTTGTTCTGTGAGAAAAGAAACATTGTGCCATCACACACCAGGGTGAGTTATAACAATGACAAACCCTGGTTTACTCCTAAACTCAAAAAGCTGTGGCTGGAAAAGAGTAAGGCGTTCAGAAGCGGAGACAGGGACTGCTACAGAGAGGCCAAGTACAGGTTCACTAAGGAAGTGGACATTGCCAAACATCAGCACTCTGAGAAGATGCAGCAGCAGATCTCAGAGAATGACTCGGCCTCTGTGTGGAAAGGTTTTAGGAATATTACAAACTACAAGCCTAAAACCCCCCACTCCACTGATGACTTGCTCTTAGCCAACACCCTCAACGACTTCTACTGCCGTTTTGACGAGCCATCAGGCAGCCTTCACACCTCCAACGGCCCCAACAATAGAGGCACTTTGGACACTCATTCCCCCACCTCTCCCCCCTCCATAGAGCCATCACCACCTTCAAACTGTTCACCTACAACACCCCCCTCCTCACCCCACACAAAAGAGGATTTCACACCACCTCCTCCCACCACAACTCTTCATATTCATGAAGCAGATGTGAGGAAGCAGTTTAAGAGTCTGAATGCTCGGAAAGCTCCCGGCCCAGACGGTGTGTCTCCTGCCACCCTCAGACACTGTGCAAACGAGCTGGCCCCAGTGTTTTCTGGCATCTTCAACTCCTCACTGCAGGCATGTCATGTGCCTGCCTGCTTCAAGTCCTCCACCATAATCCCTGTCCCCAAGAAACCTAGGATCACTGGACTAAATGACTACAGACCCGTGGCTCTGACATCTGTGGTCATGAAGTCTTTTGAGTGCCTAGTTCTCTCCCATCTCAAGACCCTCACGGCCCCCCTCCTGGACCCCCTGCAGTTTGCATATAGAGCCAACAGGTCTGTAGATGACGCCATCAACATGGCCCTACACTTCATCCTGCAGCATCTGGACTCCCCAGGAACCTACGCCAGGATCCTGTTTGTGGACTTCAGCTCTGCCTTCAACACCATCCTTCCAGACCATCTCCGAGGCAAGCTTTCCCAGATGAATGTGCCTGATCCCATCTGCCGGTGGATTACTGACTTCCTGACGGACAGGAAGCAGCATGTGAGGCTGGGAAAGAATGTCTCGGACTCCCGGACCATCAGCACCGGCTCCCCTCAGGGCTGTGTTCTTTCTCCTCTGCTCTTCTCCCTGTACACCAACTGCTGCACCTCCACCCACCAGTCTGTCAAGCTAATCAAGTTTGCAGATGACACCACCGTCATTGGACTCATCTCGGACGGGGACGAGTCTGCCTACAGGAGGGAGGTTGAACGTCTGGTGTCCTGGTGCAGCCACAACAACCTGGTGCTGAATGCCCAGAAGACAGTGGAGATTATTGTGGACTTCAGGAAGCACACAGCCCCACTCCCCCCCATCATCCTAACTGACACCCCCATCACCTCTGTGGACTCATTCCGCTTCCTGGGTACCACCATCACCCAGGACCTGAAGTGGGAGCCCACCATCACCTCCGTCATTAAGAAAGCCCAGCAGAGGATGTACTTCCTGAGGCAGCTGAAGAAATTCAACCTGCCAACACGGACGATGATGCAGTTCTACACTGCAATCATCGAGTCCATCCTCACCTCCTCCATCACCGTGTGGTACGCTGGAGCCACTATCAGGGACAAACAGAGACTGCAGCGTGTTGTGCGCTCTGCTGAGAAGGTGATTGGCTGCAGACTCCCATCTCTGCAGGACCTGTACACCTCCAGGACACTGGGGCGTGCAGCTCGGATCTCAGCTGACCCTTCTCACCCTGGACACAGTCTGTTTGACCTGCTCCCCTCAGGCAGGAGGCTCCGGTCCATTCGCACCAGAACCTCTCGCCACAAGAACAGTTTCTTCCCCTCTGCTGTTGGACACATGAACACTGTCACTGCATCATTTCATGTCTGGCACTGATCACCACCTGCACTCATGTATATATCCTTCTACGTAGCACTCTTAATTCTTATTCTCATGTATATATCTCATGCACATATCTTTCTTTCTACATAGCACTTTAATTCTTATTGCTTGCACTGAAGCACCGCAGCAAATTCCTAATGTTGTAAACCTCAACATCTGGCAATAAACCCATTCTGATTCTGATTCTGATTCTGATTACAGCACAAAAACATGAAGACAAATTGAACAAAGTGAAATGTGTCGGTCGCTGCTTTGAACATGTTTCAATGCTGATTTCTTCAAACTGACTTGTTGTAACTGAACGTCATCACAGACTGCAGATGAAGAGAGTTCAAGCACAGCTGTTCATTCAAAGGAGGATTTCTGCTTTTCTTTACATTCAGTTTGTGGGGCTGTTGGAAAATAGCTCAGCTCATGTATTGCTGATCTATCTTCCAAAACATCAGTGTTTCACTTCTAAATAATAACTCTGGAATAGAAACAAACTAATGTCTCACGTTTCTGTCAGCGCTGATCCGTCCACCCATTCCCATTCATATCCTCCTGATGTCTGTTTAGCTTCCAGACCAATCCAAGAGTGTCCTCCAAATTTACTGACAAATTCCTGTTTGAGAAGAGACACAAATATTGTCTCCAGTCATAATTCAGCACTTCTGTTGTAGTGACATCATCTTGTGAACATGTCTGAAGGAAGAATAACTGTGATGAAACGTTTCTTCCATTGTGCAGAAATCAGAAAGAGCCAAAGAATCAATGAATATCAGCTCCTCCTGTAGCTCAGTCAGTGTTGCAGTGGAATCAGTGTTAACAAATCATTTGATTCAGTTGGATTGAATCAGAAAAATAATCTGGATTATGAGGATTTCTCTCATTTTATAACATTTCTGTGTAAATTAAATGTTTGTCAAATGTGTAAAAACTTTACGTTTGAATGTGTCTGCAACAAAAAAGGAGAATCCAAGAAATCCATCAGAGTGGAGACAGGAAGCAGGTCACAGACTGACAGCAGGTCAAAGACACAAGTAACAGATGACTGTCAGCTCCATCAAAGATCACACAGACATGAACAAACACACCCACCTGTTCCTCTTTGCTGGTTATCATCACCAGATCAGCTCCTTTATCCTGACAGGCTCTCCTGCTCTCAGACCAAGTTTTCTTCTCAGTGGATTTAAAGTAAAACTTGCTTCCAAATCTCATCCATCCTTCAGGACACTTCTCTTAAAGTCAAACACATGTTTTAAAGTCAGACTTTGTGTCCTGTTGTATCACATTAATCTTTGGTTCCTGTCATTTTCCCTGTAAATGCTTCATTTAAACTCAGGTTTTCTCTCTTATTCATAATGAACTGAAACTTACATTTATACAGAGAAACTGTTACACAGCATCAAACATTTAGGATTCAAAACAAAGACACAATCAGGTTATCACTGTGTAACACTGATGTTTTCTATCAGTTATTCAAACTTTATTACCTTCTATCTTCTCCTTCAGCTTCTTCACTTCTTCCTGTAACTGACTGTTGAGTCGTTTTGTCTCTGTAGAAAAAAACATGTTAAAAAATGTAAATATAAATTTTATCTGACATTAGTATTTTCTTGTTAATTTTAAATACTTTCTTACCTTGATGTTCAGTCTGTAGCTCGTTGTAACTGTGGTTCAGTTTATTGTGTTTGAAGTGAAGTTTGTTGAATTCACTCTTGTTCAAAGCATCTGAAATATTTCAGTGAAACCAAAATAAAATAAAATAAAATAAAATGAGTGAAACGTTGAACAGAAATAATCTTCTTCCTCTGCTTTGTCAAATATATCAATAAGAGTCAGAAACTTGCAGCCATTGCTCTTTAACATGTCCTGTGGGTGGAGGTGTTAGAACTACAGGAAATCTGATGAGCTAAATACGTATCAACTGTGAACAAAAACCACTGACAAGATTCAGAATAATTGTGCTTCAGTGTGGAGGAAGAAGGTGAAGAGTCAAACAGCATTTCTACACCTGTAGTCAGAGATGTTATCTATATGCTTTGAAAGAATAGATGCTGACTCATGTGACATGTGCCTGTTCTCACTGAAAATATGTCTTTTTACATTCAGTCAAAGCTGCTCTGAGGCTTCAACACTTCCTCATATCAAAGGTGTTTCCATGTGATCAGGTACTTCCTGTATTTGCTGTGGCAGAAGGACACGTTCTGGTTGTGAAGCTGCATGTTTGTTGGCTGCTGGGATTCAGTATCAGTCATACATTCATTTGCAGCCAAGATCCCATCTTTGTAGCTCAGACTGCTGAAGACTCACACTGACTGCCTGCAGCATCTCATATAGCACACACAGCATCAGTGTCTATGATACAGTAACAGACTGAACTTTGACCTGTTGTTATGACTGTCATCATATTTGTGTCATTTTGTGTAACTGCTGTGTTTTTCTGTCCTTCATGCAAAGCTCTGCATGCTGCGCCTCAGCTGTGACTGAATGAGAGGATGATAACGGGCATGTGCAGGTACTCTGCTGTGATTGGTGCACCAACATGCAGCCTAATGATTACATAAAGAGCCAAGATGGCCGCCGTCTGCAGACGACTCATTCAGCTTTTCCTTGTTCCAACCTGCCACACCTGTGCAGCTCTCACTCTGTGTTTCCTGATGAGTTTGAAGCAGGTTGTGTTATGGTCCTGGGTCTGTTATATGTGATTTAGATTTTTTTTGGCCTTTCTATTATTTTCATGTAACTTTAACTCTTTGGGTTTATATTCATATGCTACTTTTGCATGTTATATTTTCAGTGTTCTGCCCTTTTGTGTAAAGTTTCTGTCAGTGTTGGAGCCATTTTATGTTTTTGGTGCTATTGCAATTTCTCAGCACAAGAGGGAGTAGTAACCCTACTTGCCACTGTCGCCATAACCTTTTAATCCAGGTTCAGTGGTGCTCAGGTGTGATGAGATGGGACAGAGGCAAACAGTGTTTTGACCGTGTATCAGTGTGAATCAGGTCGTGTGAGATCCTTTTGGTGTCATCTTCAGAAATTGGAATATGGAAACTTGAGCTTGAGGCAAATGTTGGATCGATGTTGTTGAAATTAGAACAATAAAGGTTAAATTTTTAATTTCAAGCAAAAGATTAATGGACACTTTGCACAGGTCAGAGCACCTGTCACTCATCTTCTTGATCTTCGATTAGCGATGTTTGGCCCTACAGTCAGTGATGTTTCCTTTGTTTGATTACTTCCTGTTTAACCTTTGTTTAACCTGTCTGCTGTGTTTGGTATTTAGTTTACTTTCTTTGTCTGTTTTTCTGTGATTAGGTTCAGCTGTGTTCCCCTCCTGTTTCATCTCTTTTTTGCTTCACTCCACACGCGAGCCTTGTGTTTGCGCTGAGCAGAGGAGGGAGGGGCGGTAGTTACACTCGCAGCAGCACAGGAACAGAGCAGGAGGGAGAGAGAGAGAGAGAGAGCCAGGGACAACAACAATAGACAACATCACCACAATAGAAAGGTGTAGTAATGAAAATGAGTGACATCAAGAAAAGAAGCACAATCTGGAACCATTTATATTTCATTGACAGTACAAAGTGTGAGTGCAAGAAAATAATTATTATAATATGATGTGTTAAATTTGTTTAGATCAGAGGAATAAGGAAGGATTGGTCTGTGTTTCAGTTTGGCTTAGCTGTAGGCTGAGAGTGTAATTGTTTAGAAGGAAAGGAATTTATGGACACTGGGGTCTGCCTGCCATAGAAGGAGTCAGGAAGCTACAGTTGGGGGTTGCTGATGCTGATGTTTGTACCTTTAATAAAACTCATAATTGTTCTAAACTTAGAAGTAGGTTTGCAGGAGACTCTCCACCTTATCTGTCAATGTAAGACAACAAGAGGCCACTGGCCCAGTGGATGCAGAGTGGGAGTCTCAGTGTTTGTAATATGTTAACTGTGTTTTCTATGTTGTGTAGAGGAATTTGGTGTAGCTTGGGTGAGATTACTTTTATGACCCCCAGGACGTCACGTATACAGACACACAGACACAAAGTGCTTTGACTGTTACGACACACCCACACCTACATGCACACTCACTCATGTACACACGGGTATGCGCACACACAGGCACTCACGTGCTCGTGCATACACACAGACACAGAGTTTGCAGCACACCGTGGGGGTTTTATGATGGGGTCACTTCTATAAAGCTGGCTGTAACAGACAAAGGAGTGAAGATCTGCAGAGGGACACCGGCCTTGCACGTCTTCCCTTCTAGAAGATGCATGCTTAAATGAAGATGAATAAAGATGAATAAAGGTTTTGTGAAATGACTACTGAGTTCTGGTGCCGTCTCTGGATGCCCGAGGAATAAAAAGAACCGGGTGAAACTGATTTCGCAACAAAAGGCAGAGTGTAGAGTCTGCAAGAAAAGGATATCATATAGAGCCGGCTCCACAAACAACCTGCACAGGCACCTGAGAACTGTCCACCGCCTAAACCAACGCAGAGCTCTGTTAAACAGTTTTTGCAGAAGTCTGTGACCCCAGCAAGACAGAACTCAATTGATAAAGAGCTGGCAAAAATGATTGCACTTTCAGAAAGTTTACTCATGCACTGAATCCTATGTATGCAATTCCAAGCAGGAAAACACTCTCCCAAAAAATCATCCCGGGCCTATATGACAGAGAACGTGCATCTTCTTTTTGTTTTGCATGTTAATTTATATTTTGTTGTGTTGTGGGGTTTTTGTTGTCGTTTCACTTTCAATTAGTTTAAAAGGTAAAAGCTGAAAACTTAAATCGTTAATAAAACTGGAATTGTAAATAGTTGGTTTTTGTATTTTATAATTATAGACTGAGCTGCCTATAATAAACATACATAAATAAAACATATTTTTTATATTAGTAATTCATTTTGTGCATAATTTTACATTGTTGTTAATAATTAATTAATTAAACCAACAAAACAACCTAAAGAGAGGGTTGGGAGCCGAAAGAGCCAGTTCTCTAAAAAGAGACAGAATTCCTATCACTAGTATTCATTCCCATTGTTTCCCTCGCCCTTTGTCCAGTCGTCTCACTAGCTGTGCTGTTCCTACTCTTTTTGTCTGTTTTTCTTGTACCTCATGGATTTTTGTTTCTCTTTTCCGGACCATCTGTACTTTCCTGGAATAAACACACTTTATGTTTAACATTTGCCCACCATGTTCTGCATTTGGGTCCTGAAGCTTCCACCACACCGTGGACAACATAACCTGATAGTTTGTAGGGCTGAGCTGCCTTTGACTTTGAACAGTTTTCTCCTGTTTATGTTAGTTTGGGAGGTCAGCAGCTGCAACTTGTTTTGTTTCTTTTTATCAGATTATCTTTACACAAGAATCTGATTTAAAACATAAAATTAGCCCACTCTCAAATACAGTCATCTCCAACTTTAATACTTCTTAATAGTTTCTTACCTTCCATCTTGTCCTTCAGCTTCACTTCTTTCTGCAGCTGCTCTTTTTCCAAACTCACTAAAATATCTGGTTAGAAATGCAACAAAACAGGAAATTAATTTAAAATCATTGCACTTTCCCAGATGGACTTTTTTATTCTCACTTTAGATGAATGGAACTAACATGAACTTGTTAGCTAGCTGTTTAATACACCAAGTGAACTAACTAGTTGACATAATGACAGACCAGGCCACTGTCTAACATAGTGTGACTGCACCTGTATCAGTCTGCAGCAGATGCTGCTGCCTGTCTGCTTTGTTGATATAAGATAAGATAAGATAACCTTTTTTTTGTTTTCTCACAGCAGGAAGCGGACAGTGCAAAAGTTATATAGCAAAACTTAGAATATAATACGAATAATGTACTGTACCCAACTGTAAAGAATAGAGTAAAATAGAATAAAATATACAATAGGATAAAAATATAATGCAAATGCTTTATACAACTGAGTAAAAATACAACTTTGTCAGAGAAGAGTATTGCACTTAGTCTTATTGCACATGTGTGGATGTGTGTGTTTGATCAGCTGCAAAAGTCTTTGCAGAGGTCGACATTGAGGAAATGTAAAACTGCTGGGGAAGGGTAAACATGAATTCAGTAAAATTGTAATTCACGTCGGCAGTAATGACACCCGGTTACGCCAATCGGATGTCACTAAAATCAATATCGAATCGGTGTGCAACTTTGCCAAAACAATGTGGGACTCTGTAGTTTTCTCTGGTCCCCTCCCCAATCAGACCAGGAGTGACATGTTTAGCCGCATGTTCTCCTTAAATTGCTGGCTGTCTGAGTGGTGTCCAAAAAACAATGTGGGCTTCATAGATAATTGGCAAACCTTCTGAAGGAAACCTGGTCTTGTTCCCACTCCTCCACTTTGGATGGAGCAGCTCTCATTTCTAAAAATATAGACAAATTTAGTAAATGCCCCAGACCATGGCTATCCAGAGTTGGGACCAGGAAGCAGAGTTGCAGTTTTACACGCCTCTCTGCAGCTTCCCTCCTCCTGTTACACCCCCCCCCCCCAAAAAAAAAAAAAAACATCTCCAAAGAGACTGTGTCAACTCCCAAACAGACAAAAAAACCAAACTAAGGACCAGCAAAAAATGACTAAAACATAAAAAATCACAAAGAAAGAACAATACAGTATCCACATATGAACCAAAGAGTAAAACAGTGAAATGTGGATTATTAAATATTAGGTGTCTCTCCTCCAAGTCTCTGTTAGTACATGACTTAAATTCCATAATGTTCAAAATCAGCACGATGGGAACTGAAGAGTAATGTTTCTCTACTTCCAGGCAGAGACAGAGATCAAAGCGACTACCTATGAGAGCACATCAAGCCTGACATATGATTTAGTATTAAATACATTAGGTTACATAAAACTGGAGCCAGCTGTGATCTTCAAAGTGATATGTGACGAGTGAATCCCTTTCCAGTGTGTCCTCAGCTTTAGCTGCTGGTGGTTAGCACTAATGTAGGGATGGGTACGGTATCCGGAGAAAGCGCGTATTTGGTAGCTTGCTGCGAGACCTCACACCGAGCACATTCTACGGGGTGTGGTGCCTGTTATCGGACCCGGAGTTAGCAACATCCCCAAAAACCCGAAGAGGAGAGTCCTGGCCCTAGCCCTGCCAGTGTAGCAGAAATGATGAGGATGATGATGCAGCAGCAGCCGTTCTTCTCTGCGTGAGTAGCTTCATGTTGTTCGTGTGTAATTTACGTTGAGTAGGCTAACCACGTTATTACATTAATGCATGTAAGGTGAACTAGCAAACATCATCATAGCTACATGCGGCTGTCTTCTTGTTTGATGGCAGATACTCCCTTCACCCTGGCCAAAAAGGCTAAAATGACCAAAGAAAAAGTGGAAAACAGTTAAACATGAGAGGTTTTTGGACAAACGTTTGTGTTTTTTCCATTGTTTAAGCTTCCAGCCAAGAGTGATACCATATATGCCCCATAGCTGCAGAAAAGGCTAACATTGTTATCTTTTTAACAAAAAAACCAGCTGAACATGAGAGGTTTTTGGACAAAGTGTGTGTTCTCCATTCTTTAAGCACCGGTTTGGTACTGGTATTGGATAAAGCCTAAACAATTCCCATCCCTACTAACATTAAAGGCTTATGGTAAATGGCCTGTTTTTGTATAGTGCTTTTCTAGTCCCTAAGGACCCCAAAGCACTTCACACATCCAGTCATCCACCCATTCACACACTGGTGACAGCAGCTACATTGTAGCCACAGCCACCCTGGGGCGCACCGACAGAGGCGAGGCTGCCGGACACTGGCGCCACCGGGCCCTCTGACCACCAGAGGGAAGTGTCATGCCCAAGGACACGACGACCAAGACTGTCCAAGCCGGGCTCGAACTGGCAACCTTCCGATTACAAGGCAAACTCCCAACTCTTGAGCCACGATAGCCTCGATAGCCTCGATAGCCTTGTATTAAGTTAATTTACTTTAGTGTAGATCTCATCAGTTAGCTGGGCCCCAGCACATTTTAACCAGCCTGTAGGTAGTGAACATATTTCAGCAGTAGTGTAACATATATAAGAAAACTCTGCAGAGTGACTGTTTCTAACTATAACATGAAGAGAGAACAGGAAGTGAACAGAATCAGGTCAACAACATCAAATAATTTCCCTTAAAATGTAAAAAATCACAAATCTAACATGATAAATAAAGTTGCTCACAGCGTGTTAAGATTCCAGCCAGAATCAGCAGATACAGCACTCCCAGGGTCACTTCAAACGCTCTGAAACAGCTGCTGTCCACAGCTGGAAGCTTTCTCTGGGTGTGTTCATCTACAGAGAAAATACACAAAGAGTCCATTCATGGAGCACTAATGAGGGGCTCTGGAGCTCCTTCTTCTTCCTCCCTTTTATTATCTGTAGTTTGTATTTTTAGTTCGTTCCTACTTACCAGCTTCTTGTAATCCACCAGCAGGGTTCTGCTCTCCATCGTCTAACATCTCCACCTCGATTTGCTCTCTTCCTCTTCCATCCTCATGGGTCCCTCTGCTGTATTTCACCCTGGAGTCATGGACACCTTGAGTTTGTGTCGACATCTTAAGCTAAGAAGATATTTGACCGTCCGTCACTGTCTGCCTGTTTCTTTGAGTCAGGCAGCTTTGAACTGAAAATATCCAGGAAGTCAAACCAGAAGAGAGCCACAGTTTTCCTGTCACGTCATGATGTGTGAAACGCTGAGTTATTTAGGAGCACTAACAGCATCCAACAAGATCTGAAGTTCAGTTCACTTCAAATGCAAAACTTTGACTGATGCAGTTTTAATTGATGACAAATGTGAACGAGTCAGAAACAGCAGAACAAACCACGAACACAACAAAGACTTCAAAAAGTCATTAAAACACCTCCAGAACATTCTGAACATTTCCTGTCTGAATATCTCAGAGACACTGAGGCTGAACTCAGCAGCAGCAACATGCACATCAATGCCTTTGTTAGATGCTGCTTTCATGAGTTTCTACATGTTGTAAGTCCACAGAATGAGAAGAGAGAAGAAGAGTTTGTGACACAGGAAATATGACGTCAGTGTGAACTAAGCTAACGGGGCGTCACGGCGTTGCAGAGGTTCGCTCTGTCACTGTCACCGTCTCCAGTTGGAAACAGACAAACAAACAGATTTCAACAAGACCTGAAGTTCAGATTTATCAGTTTAATTACTGAGATTTCATTGATGCCGTTGTGATTAATTACAAATGTGAACGAGTCAGAAACGAACAGCAGAATAAAGCACAAACACAGACAGCTTAAATACTTTTCTCCATTTATTTGGAAAACTTTTCCATTACATGCATTAATACATAGATACTTGTACACCAATACAAGCAAAGACACAAATGTATTTGAAATGTTTGTCATAATGCACAGACACTGAGCTTGAACTTAGCAGCAGCAACTTAAAAATAGCTTTCTCAGAAGCTGCTGTCATCACACAATATATAATGTTAGTAATGAGCGAATGTTTCTGATGCAGGAAATATGGCGTCAGTGTGAACTTCAGTTATTTCGAGTTTACCAGCAGAGAAACTCACAGCATGCAACAAGATCTGAAGTCATTTTGATGAATTGAAACGCTGAAATGTCTTTGATGCAGTTAGAATTCAATGAAATGCTGAAAATCATCTGAAGCGAAACACAACCAGGGTCTGTGGTCATTAGTTAAAAGCTTTGCACCAATCACATGTGGACACATACAGGCTGCAGGTAAAGGGTCCAAAGCAGGAAGTGTGTCA